GACATAAAACAAATTTTATTCACATCTTTGATTGAATTAGCGCCAGAAGAAATGATTATTCAAGTTTGGCATGTTCATGCTACTGGAACTACAGGACATGGACATTATGTAATAATCCTTAGAGATGGTACACATTTATGTACATGCCTTCTTTTAATAAATAAAGGCTTAATTTGCCGTCATTTTTTTCGAGTTGGTACATATTCAGCATTAGCAACATTTCATATAAATCTTATTCCAAGTCGATGGTATTCAGAACCTAATATTATGCCAAATGATCTTCTTCTTCAAATGCTAACAATTCCTATTTCTGTGCCTGTTCAAAATCAATATCAAGAACCTAGAGTTAATTCGGGTTTAACATTTAATCAGCTTACTACAATTCGATCCAATATTTACGATTCTAACTCTAGATCAAAAAAGCCAGCCAAAATGATTTATGCTGAATTATTTGAATTATCTAAGAAAGTAGTCGATGTTGCAATTAAAGCTAATGCGTCTAAAGAATTATCGAGTGTTTTGAAAAATTTTATTCATGAAATACAAGACAGATTAGATGACCAGCAACAAGATGAAAATGATATTGATGTTATTAATCCTTCTATTACAAAACATAAAGGGCGTCCGCCAAAAAGACTTGAATCTGCAGTTGAGCTTCAGAAAAAGCATCCATTAAGAAATAATACACAACTTAATGTAAATAATAACAATCTTAATGAAAATAAAATAGATCGTAAATGCAGTAAATGTGGTCAAATAGGTCATTATGCTAAAACTTGTAAAGAAAATGAATAGTTTTACATATGCGATCATAATCAATTAATATATTGTATTGTTGAGCTTGGCTAACTGCTAGATATTTATACTATAACTTCGCTAATAACTATTGCTTGTATTGTGAATTTGTTTTACTAATAATTTATGAATCTTTTATAAGTAATCCTCTCTTAATAGTTAGGGTTAGGGTAAGCGCTAATATTGCCCTTTTTCATGTTAGGGTTGGTATAGGTTATAGATATACCTATTCATCACCAATATTCTCTATATTGCCTTATGTTTCGGGTGAGACCTATATTAGTGTTATGGTTTAAGTAGTTATATAGTAAAATCGCTCAAAGAAAAACTTTTTATTAATATGCAGAAGATGGTTTAGTATGTAATTTTTTTAGAAATAAGCGATTTTTGTCAAAACGAACGTTTGGTTTGAATTTCTAGTTTGTGTAACATTATACCCAATTTTGAAATAGCGATCCCTATTATACATGCAGATCATTTTAATATTACACATATCACATATATACCCTGTACACAAACACCCGTGTACAAATAGTAATTGTCTTAGATATATTACTAAAATAAAAATTAATTTTAAATTATTTTATTAAAATTTAATTAACTACTTTTTATTAAATTTGGTTATATTTTGTAATATTTTATAATAGCTAACTATAATAAATAATTTTATAAATATAAAGTTAAATATTTAAAGTTTTATTATTAATATTAATTTTATTAGAATAAATTCTTTATTTTAATATATTATAAAGACTTAAAAAATTTATTAGCTTTACTATTTTAAATATTCTATAAAAAATAGGCAGATAGTATAAAAAATAAGCTTTGCTGATGATTAGTAATTATTAATTTTAATAGCAAAGTTGCAGAGTTTGCAGAGTTTGCTCACCTATTTTATAGAACATCTACTAATTTTTTATTTAAATTTACAATTTATTTAACTAAAATATAATTTAATTTTCAATTTGTATAACTAAAACAAAAAGAATTACTTGATTTATATTTGTTTACTATAAAAAAATAATCTCATTGCCTAGTTTTAGTAAAGTGCTTGATTGTATAGTGCTTGACAAAAGTTTTCTTGTACCTCTAACTCAGCACAGAGATGAAATAAGTTAAAAATTTTTTTATTTAAAAATACATTGTATTACAAAAAAAATCAATATATTATATAATTGCTCTCAGATTCAATTAGGCTTCTACACAACTTTTCATACTTCTAACCAAATTTTTTGTATATTTTTTAGATAAGCTATTCTATTCCCTTGTTATTTCACTCTTCAAATGACTAAGGGTTCTAATTTTTTTTTTGCTAGGTTCATTTTTATAAGCCTCAGACATTTTTAATCAGATTTTGGTCAGGTGATATTGATAGCCAGAGGAGAACCTGGATATCATTTTCTTTCTTTCAAGCCTTCGTGATTTTTGAATAATACTTCAAATTGTTGTCCTTCTGCAAGATCTATCTATCCAATGTTTATTAAAAAGATTCATAATAAAAGACAGAAAGCCTATTTCATACAGAGTGATCATATATTGTATATTAAAGTTATACATAAAGCAGACCAACCTGCCAAAGCCTGAAGAAAAAAACAGCCCTATATATGAATTTTTGTCAAATGCTTGACAAAACAGGTTAATTTTCTTCTTCTAGAGAATTGCCACACCTTTTTTAGTTGCTAATTCAGATGAAAAGTACTTTTGTCAGTAAACACTACTGAATCCTAGTTAAAATTCTTATACTTCTTCGCCTACCAAAGATATTTTTTCGATACTTCTTCAAAGCAAAAGCTTTGAGAGCTTTCTGTAATAACAACCTATCTTCACAAAGGTGCAGTTAAATAGTAAGCATGTAAATATGATATTCTGTTTCATCAGTTCATAATAGATTTCTGGGGCTATAATATCTTTATTTTCTTTTTTCAGCTCCAAAATCTGTTTGTCTTGTCTTTGAGTAGAGGGCTTTTACAACCTGACCTTTGTTTGTCACTTAGGTTCTTGGTTTCTTGCTACTTTTTTACCCAATAGCGCACAAAACTTTCATCATAGTGAACTTGCTTTGCTGTTTTATGAATTGAAAGCTTGGAGCCTTTCGGATGGGTGCTTAAAAAAACAATATCATATTGTTTATATAAAGCAAGAGGTATTTTTTTGGCTGAAATTTTATGCATGATTGAAGCAGATATTTTTACTATTAATCATGCCTAAAGAATGTTAGTACAATTTGCATATGCAATGTACTATACATGAATAAAATTTCATATATTTGCACATAATCTAGTGAAAGCTAGAGTATAAGAAAACTTTTGTCTGGCATTATAATACCAGAAAATTTATATATCAATTAAGTTTAATAATTTTTTATATTTAAATATATTACAATATTTAATCAAAAAATTGCAACAATTACAGATTAATAATTATACAATAATTAGAAATATTGTAATAAATATATACAGATTTAATAATCATATAAATAATAGAGAATATTGCAATAGTTACAAATTTTATTATTAAAAATATTATAATCAGAATACAATCTTAAGTAGGGATAGGTTCAGTTAGCTATAGCCAGTTATCAATTAGCTATTATCAGCTATTAACTAATAGCTATCTATAACTAGTTATAGCTGATCAGTATTTAAAATATTTAAAAACATAAATAGATCAATATAAATTAGCACAAAAATATAAAAGATTCTATCAATATTATATTTAATTAGTTTAATATTACATGTCAGCTAGCTAGTCAACCAAGCTGCTCTATTTAACTATTATTAACTATGGCTATAGTAACTGGCTAGCTGACTATAATCTAACTAAACCTATTTTTAAATTCAAGTATACAGGATATCAAATTACAAATAACTAATCAAAACTGTTTATACAAACTAATTTTTAATTAGATAGTAAAAAAAAGAATAAAAAAAAGATAAAATATAGAAGTAGATAGAAGATATTGATTGAGTTATTAAAAAATATAGCTTGCATGTTCTAAATTAAAATAATTCAGTTTAATATATTGGAGTTAAATTTTATTTGAATATACTTTATATTAGAACCAGTATTGGAAACCTGTTTTGAGATTTATGTTTTTATAATATATTTTTCTAATCTAATGTTCTCAAATTTTTTTTTATATTCTTAAATAAAAAATCTTTTTCATCTGAACTAAACTTAAATTTTGCAGATTTTTGAACCTGAACTAAAGTTTAAATTTATAAACCTAAACAATAATTTATACATATTTTTGTACAAAAAATAAAGTTACTTTGAGCATGAAGATAGAATTAATTAGTAAAATTTTGAGAATCTTATCATTTTTCATAATTTTATTAATAAATTATGATTCTCAAAATTTTACTAATTAATTCTAAGTAATTTTATTTTTTGTATAAAAATATATTAAATAGAGAACATATTTTTCAAACTAACTATTCTCAAAAAAATTTTATAGAAAACATCTTAAATTTTGTAAATGTTCTCAATTTAAAGCAATGTTCTCATGAGAACATGAGAATATAAGATTTCCAACATTGATTGTGACTTATGCATCATCTGGAACCTGATCCTAGAAATTGCAATTAATATTGCACCAAGGATCATTGTAGCTGCTGACCGGTTATTTTCTGTTCGCATAATGCAGGCCAGATGTCAGATGAATATTTGATATTTATATTCGGCAGTTATCTATAATTATGAAATGGCAGATTCCTTTAGATTGGATCGCGAATTATCTGTTGTAGCTGAACTGGCAATTTTGGCATGAGATCATAATTGCGCTTTTCTATGAATTTAACTTTGTTTTCATAATAGGCCTTTACAGACTAGTAATTACCATATATAGAAGACCATTTGAATCATACAGATCAAGAATGAATTTACATAATGTTTCACACAAAAAGAATAGATCATGATGTCATAATATACGTGCTACAAATTATCCAATCAAATTACGAATAAAAGACCCATCAGCGCGCAGGGCAGATCCCTGTATTCTAATAATAATAATAATAACTAATAACTAATAATAATAATAATATATTTATTTAATTATTAATATGAAAAAAATTAACATTTAATAAAAAAAGAAAAATATGAATAACCAAGAATATTTCTATCAAAAAACATGCAGCAAGTAATATTCTTAGAAAAATAATTCAGTATGCAGCGTTGATTTAAATTGTTAACATATTACAAGCTTATTAACCACCTATTGAAACACCATATGGTTCATTAAGTAATCCTTTGAAGTCGTGCATTCCAGCCAAGATTAGTAGTTTAGGATTTAATTTTACTTTTTCAAAAGTTGCTTTTCCCTCACGAAATAATAATATCTATTTTTTAAAATGTAAAGAACAAAAATATATTATATATCATAATGTTAAATGATTTAAAAAAAGAAATAAAGAACTTAAATTTTACCTTTTCTGCGACCATTGGGATGTTTAAATCACTAAACATTTGTCTGAGACTTACAGAAACTTTTGCTGAAAGAAAAAATTAATTAATAAAACTAGTACTGTACAAGAAAATTCAGCTAATTTAAATAAACTAAAAATATCTTTGTAACAGAATGGGTGAGCAATTTGCGATGCATTCATGATTCATTTTTAACTTTAACCTTAAATAATATGATTTGAATGCTGAAGAGTTTATTATAAGTATATTTCTTAGAGCAAGACTCATGTATCAATTTTAGTTAGCAAAAGGGTGAATTGGACTTATATTATTTTTCGAACAACTATTATTAACTTCTAAAAGTGTTAACTCTAAATTGAATTATTAATCTTAATTTGCCACTTTATTGTGAGGTTGGAAATCTTTGTCCTTAATTAAGAGGACTGCTCGCACATACAACCTAGGTTGGCCAATAGACCAAAATGTAGCTTAGAAGATGTCAATGGACTATGTCTATTGGCCCAATGGACAATGTCTATTGACATTTTTCTCAGAGCCCATTATAGTCCATTGCCAACCCTGCATACAACTATACATTATGCTTTAATCAAAGTCTTGTGCCTACATACCTTTTTTATCAAATTTATTAACATCCCAAGCAAGTTTAATTGTATATACTCCTTCAGAAACCTTTTCAATATGAGTGGTATGGTAATTAATACGATTGCCAGGTGGTACTTTCGGTTTAACTGAACCAGCCAAGAGGATCAAAAAGATGACAGAAAATAAGAAGGTAGTTGAGATTTTTATTTTGATAGTTTTAAAAAATTAAAAGCTTCAATTAAAATAGTTTAATAATGTTTTTGTAGATAATTCTACTTGAATATATTGTCAGTTTTAAAGCTCTACACTTGAGATTTTTATAGCATTTTTTTCTCTTATAATAAAATTATCATCTATCACGAGTATCCTATACATTTTTATCAATCATTATGTTTATGTGAAAATAGACATATATTCTTGGTTTATTTTGAATTACCTTATATTTTAACGATAACGAACTGGGTCTCATGTAATCCCATGCTTCTGATAGAATGAAATTCATTTAGCTATTATCACAAATTTGAAATTTGTGATATTAAAAGATTCTACGTACTTATTGGTTTTACCTCCTGAATTTGTATATAGATCGTCTCTTTCTTTAATTAGTATAAATAACTTCCATTTCCATTTTTGTATATATCATTAAATGTTGGTCAATATCGAGGTGAAAACTTGTATTTATCTGTCATTTAATAGGTGATTGTCCCTTCTGTCCATTATACACGCTAATGTACAATTAGGGTAAAATTGATATAATAGCATATTAATATCAGTATAGTATAGGTTAAATTCGGTTCCGATCAATTCACCAACAATCATTTTACCGAACGCTCATTTAACCGACATCACATAGCATAGCGGGCTTAAATTTGATTGGTTGATCGACATGCATATGTGTTACATATTGGTGTAATGTTTGTAGTTACAAAATCGAATTGGCAGCCACCAATACGGATTGGCAAAGGTTGTGACATAAAAAAACTAAAAGTATACCTTCTGTTTAATATACTGTTAAAATAATTCGGTAAACGGTTAGGTAATTCAGAACTTAGCTAAGAAGCGTTTATTGCCATTTCTTTACACTAGGAATCTATTTTTAGTGTGAAATAAGAAAGCAAGAT